GAGGGGGCTGTGGGGAGAAGAGATTGCTGGAGCTCAATCGGCTGCTGCTGCAGCGCCATGCCCTTTCCCTCTGTTGGCTATTTTTACGGTTCTTCTGCACTTTTGGATGTCTAATGGATGCATCATACATAAATCCCCTTCCCTTCGTGCACACAGCATTTGCCTGGCTCGCCCAGAGAGATGGTTGGGCTTTGGAAGCACCAGGTGCAGCTGCTGGGACCACTGGTTGGAGAAACATTTGCCTCCTGAGCCCGTTAATTAGCACAGTAACGGTAACTGTGCTCCATTAGCCAACCCATGTGGTCGAGTCCCCTCCCCGTCCACCAACCTTGCCCTTAATGAGAGCTGGAAGGGGGACACTCACAAAACACTGCCTCAGAATAATATTCGGCTTTGTCCACGCCGGTAACAAGAGCTGACAGGATCACTACGTCCATTTCTCTTCTAATTAGCACACTTCCAGCTCGGCCTGAGCCAGCAGCCAGAGAAAAGCGATCGGACAACCGTACCGAATCACAAACACAAAGAGGCCCATTCCCCGTAATTAGGTGAGACAATCCCTCAGTCTTTTCTCGGCTGGAGCTTGCCGGTAAGACTCTCGCTGTTTTGGTAAGTCCCAGCAACACAAGTTACACGTCTCCCCAGGACACTAATAAGCCCCTAATTGTCTTCCGCTTCACACGGCTCGTACCATAGGTCTGACTTGGGGCAATTCTTCTAACGAGCGGCAGCCAGCGCTCCCCGCACCGTGGAGGGACGGGGAGCCGCCTCCCGGGCACCAGGAGGAGAAGGGGACGGGGAGAAACAGCCAGAAAAGCAGCCCAGGCGCTGGGGCCCAGCTAGGTGGCACAGGGCTGGTGGCTGGGCAGCAGCCACCCATCGCTGGGGACACGGGCCTTCTCCACCCACCGGCGTGGTGGAAAACCCAAGTTGAACTCTCAGGCCTGCCTCCTCTGTTCTTGTCTCCAGCGCTACACAGGTACCTGCGCTTCCACACAGAAATGCACCATCAAAACCAAACATGACAGAGCGGGTCCAGGGGAGGGCCATGAAAATGATCAGGAGTTTGGAGCACCTCTGCTATGAGGACAGGCTGAGGGAACTGGGGTTGTTCAGCCTGGAGAAGAGAAGGCTCCGGGGAGACCTAATAGCGGCCTTCCAGTACCTGAGGGGGGCCTACAGGAAGTCCTGGGAGAGCCTTTTTACAAAGGCCTGCAGTGACAGGACGAGGGGCAATGGCTTTAAACTGGAAAAGAGCAGATTTAGATTGGATATTATGAACAAGTTCTTTACTTTGAGGGTGGTGGAGCACTGGAAGAGGTTGCCCAGGGAGGTGGTTGAGGCCCCTTCCCTGGAGATATTGAAGGCGAGGCTCAACGAGGCCCTGCGGAACCTGGTCTAGTTGGGGGTGTCCCTGCTGACTGCGGGGAGGTCGGAGTAGATGACCTTTGGAGGTCCCTTCTGGCCCAGAGCATTCTATGAATCAATGATTTGATTTGCCTCAAGTCTGTGCTAAGGCTCGTGGGGGCTACACTGAGAGAAACGCAGCTCCTGGTACATGCTCTTCTCCAGTGAGGCCACGCCATGGGTCTGCCTCAGAGTTCAGCCTGGGAAGGAGTGTGGGTGTAAAGGAGACCCTGTCGGCTCCTGTGGAAGGGAACACCTGATGGGTCTCACAGGACAGGTTTCTACAGATGTGCACAAAATTATTAAAAACATGAGAACTTCCAGAAGAAGTTGTGAGGTGGGGAGGAGGCCCCCACTCAAACTCCCTGATCAAAACAAGGCAGACACACACTCCCTCTTAACCTCCAAATCCCACACTTTCCTGGGAAACCATCCTCTACAAAATATTTTTCAGCAAAACATTTTCCCTGATTTTTTATGACAAGCTCCATTCTGAGCAGAATACCTCAGCTGACCCCGTTAAGGAAGCTCAGGGCCTGCAGACCCCTTTGCCTCCTGTGCAGCTGGTCCACAAACAGGTCCCTCCTCAAATCAGGCCAGGGGGCCTCGCCAGAAGCGCTTCGTCCCCCGGTTTTACACATGCTGTTTGGCTTCAGTGCTCAGCAGGGCAAGAAACCTAAGACAGGGTGACAAACCGATGTACGAGAGACATACAGGCCCTGGTGATTACCTTGAAAGGCAATTTAGGATAATCAATATACATATATATATATATATATATAAATAAATCACTTAAAACTAGCTATAACTAATAAGTTACTTTAATGCAGGGAGAGAAAAACAAAATAAAGGCCATATAACCAGGCAGCCCAAGCGCCCATGCCCACTTGGGTTTCTATGCTAGTCCCTTGTCCCTCATCCTGCTGTAGCTGATGAACCCTCCTCCTGCCTTTTCTGATATAACCTGCTGTGTTTTGGGCTACTGTAGTAAGTGGAAGATGGAAAATTTCTGATGCTTCGGAATTAGCTTTAAACTTCTGTGATTACGAGGAAAATTGTTAGATGTGCCTGGTATTTTGAAAGGAGAATCTTCCCTGGCATCCAAGTGCCTGCAAGCACAAAATTTAATTACCCTATATTGTTACAGCTACTCATCAGCTATTGGCCACAGAGCCAGCCTTTCAAGTGATACAGAACCAAGTCAAGTACTTTGTCCCCCCAGAGATCTGGTCAATAAATAAGGTGCAAGGTCATTCTTATTACCCATTTTTTCTACTAGCAATTAAGTAAGGGCTTTCAAGCTCAGTCCTCTTCCTCTTTTCTGTTCCTTCCTGAGGTGTCTATAACAGAGACAGGCAGGGAGCATTCTGGCTTCACTGGTCACTGATCTGTATTATAGGAATCAGCAGGCAAGCCAGAGGTCAACCACACAAACCCAACAAGAAAACGCCTATTCTGTACACGCATCAGCTGCCTGGAGTCAGTCATCCTGCTCAAAGGGACATGACGGAAAAGGTCAAGTCTAAAAACTGGCAGTTTCAGTGGATGATGAAGTCAAAATGTGAAGAGATCCCACCATGCTGAAAATCTAGCACAATCTAAAGAAAAAAAATGCATTATTGCACATATTCTATGCAGAATATGAATTATACTCTTTAGACACTGGATCAGTCCATACTCCTCTGGCTACTTGAGCTTTTAAATGTCTTTATATGGAATTCAAATGATAGGCCACAACTGACTTCAGGATTCTGTATTTCACATCCTCCTGAAAGAAACTCAAAGCACTGATGTAAGGACTGATTTGCAGAGATAACATGTCTCTAGAATAGCTTTGATTCCAAGAATCACAGTATCGCATGAAAATAAAAGGATCCAGTCTGTCTCTCTTCCTTTCTTTTCAAAATACCAAGGTTCATCTCTTATCAGGTCAATGTGTATTTGGCACCAGACATACAGTATCTTTGGAAGTATCTGCCACACTGGCAGACATATATGTTGGGATATGCTTGGTTGGTATTTGCATATATGTTGGTATTTCTGTGGTGGGCCATTCTTAGTATAGTGATTATAGAAGATTATAGATTTGCATTTGTTGCTCTAATCATGTTGATTCAGTTCAGAGTTTGTTGGTCCACGGGATATTTCTGTCCAGCTGTGATTTTGCTGGGCTGAAGAGACACAGAGGAACTTCTGGGAAATTTTCCTTCAGTGAATTATCTTCTTCTATGGACTGAGTATTTACTGACTTTTAAAAAAGTGTCAGAATAGGATGCTATATGAAAACAGGGGCACAACATTAAGGAGTAAGGATTATTTTCATGTATATTAAGTTTGCATGCTGTATTCAGATAGCTCACTTAAAGAAATTACACATTTTCCTGTTAAGAGCTGTCTCTCTTCTGCTTGCGTATGTCTAAAAATTGATATTAGTTGAGAAGTATTACAGAAATGTTTATGCAATGTTACTCAACTTGTGGTAGGATGGGAGTTCAGGATTTCAGACCATATGGCAACGATGTAATTTGTCGTTTTTATATGTTGCATAGGTTGATGATGGTATTATCCAGTATGACTTCCTGAACATGAAGCGGTTGGCGTAACTGTTGTCATGATTTGGAAAAAGTGTTGCCTAAGACGAGTTAGTGTGGATGAAGATGAAGTGGATAAGATCAGCTGCATGCACAGACTGCAAATCTAAGCCATGATCCTGTTCTTAGAGATACTCCCAGCAGGATTTAGCCCACAATGATGTGGGAGCAAAAAGCAGAGGAACAAAATATAAGCTGTAATTAGGACTTACACTCCTCCACGGAACGCTCGCTCGCACACTGAACACTCTGCAATTTTGATGATGCCACCTCGAACAGGCTGTAACAGAAGACAGACAATGAACATCATGAACATAAGAAAGGTGAACATAACCATGGAACCAAAAATGTAACAGAAGCTGAAAAAGCATGACCAGTGCACAGACAGCAAAGAAGAAAAAACCCGAACGTTTCTGACAATAAAGCAAATGAAATGTTCCAAATTAAATTATAGAGTAAGCAGGTTTAAAACAATTACACCCATCACTCCCTCCCCCCTTTTTCTTCCTGAAACTTTTAATTGTATAACCGAATTATGGAACTCACTGTTCAGGGGCATTTTAGAGGACAGAAGTACAGCAAATCAGAACTAAAAGAAATTTATGGAGGGTAGGGTCTTCTGTGGATCAGATTCAACTAAAGCAGATTGCTGGGTAAGTTACCCTAAAGCAAAATCACTCTGTGTAAGCCTTTTGTTTATATCCTTCCCTCTGAGTCTACAACTGTTTATAATCAAAGAGAAGATTACAGATAAGATGGGCTTGTGATTTGACTTGTAATAGCACCTTACATTTTTATGTAACACAAAAATCAGTAAGATAAACCAGAATAAGGTTCAAACATTACCTCCAAGTTGGATCAGTCAGTTTTCAGTAATCCGTTATTTATAGGTGACTCGTTGAGGGAAACAGAAGCAAAGTTGACAACTGTGGTTATAGGATTGTTCCAAAATGGTTTTATAATGGCAAAACACTGAGTTAAATGGAACATTACACTCTTCAATTGCCAGTGCAACTAGACTTTTATTTTGATAATGACTAATATAACGAACAAGAATTTTCTCAGTGGGATTAAACAGTGTTTGATAGTGTTGAAAACTTGAAAACACTTGAAAAAGTGTTTGATACTCCAAGACAGAAGTGAACATCCTTTACAACTGAATATATGTAACACTGGCATTTAAAAGGAACTAAATACATACTGGGTTTATTTCCAAGAACCTCACAGTAACATTTAACATACCAACACATGGAACACTTCATAAACCAATGCATTATCTCAATTAATATTATGAAATCTTCATTTTCTTCCACTCTTCATTCCCATCATTTAATTTATCAAAATTTTTTGTTTGTTTCAAAATACAGGTTATCAGCAACAAAAAGTCACCCAGATTATCTTGTATAGATAGATACTGCAGGGATGTCAGGAAGGACATCACTGAGGGAAAAAAAACAGGATTCAAGGAGGTAAGAAAACCCTTAGTACCATTTGAATATTGCCAAATATTTATTTACTGATGGGAACGGAGCATCCACAGGCCAAACCCTGGGGTGGCGGCATGCAGAAGTGTGAAGAAAAGCCCGAGGAAGAGTATGGACTAGGTGGCTAAGCAAAAGCTTTTGCATCTCAAAGGGCTATTTTGGAAACCCAGATAAATTTCTGAGGTTTGCATTTGTTTATTATCAAACCACAAAGCAATAACAGACAGATTACAATTCTCTGGCTAACACGCAAAAATACATATAAATATTACCAATAAAAAAATACATCCCTGACTCATCTCTACAGATGACAAGTACAAAGCCAATAAATATCTCAATTCTAAAGCATATGTTACTGGCTGCACTGTAGAAGGTGGTACGTACTGTATAGAGTAAAATGCTTTTTTTGTTCTTTTTTTCTTTAAACACATGTATGTTACTAAAAACTACCTACAGTTTGAAATTCCTTAGTGAACATATCAGAAAATATACATATAGTTCCATGCCAGGCTTTCATATCTTCTCCTATATTCCTCCCTCCTTTCAGATCTCAATTTCTTAATGTGTTGCATCACAAACCTCTATAAAATGCACAAACTCATATTGGTCATACAGATGAAGTATCCCGTTATGTCAAATATGTGTATATATATTATGTATATAGTATAAAAACTTTAAATTGCATTCAAAATGTACAATTTAATACATAAAGCTACAGCAAAATCAGTTTGCACCAGCAGGTTTTTTTCTCTGTTTCTGAATTATCACTTCTAGCTTCTCCTCACATTCATCTGTCTTAACTCTTCTGTTCTCAAGGGATGGAGCTCCTGATAAGCTTAGCTCTGCCTAAACTGTGAAGTACAGAAATCAATCCATTAAGTTTAAAAATCAGACTGCTGACAGTCTTAAATATTCAGTATTTGTGCAAGGTCTTTCCAGGACGTGGGTTTTAACTGTTTGCACTCGGGTAGCAGGAGCTGTCCAGAGCCAGCCCAGTTCTGACCAGTAATAACCAAGACCACAGACTGCACATCGAAAGGCCACCAGCTTTTTAGCAACAATTCAGAGAAGTCTATCTGATTAAAAAAAATACCTCCTCTTCTTTATTACACATGCACCTGAAAAGAGTCTCCTCTCTCTGCAAAGACAGAAAAATGCAAGGCTCTAACGACATTTATTTCCAAGTCATTTCTCCTCTCACATGTGACTGCAGCCTGGGAAACGACAAGTTTTGAAAAGCCTGCATGCTAAAAATACCATTTCTAAGTGGAGAAAAAAAACCCTGCTCTTCATCTAATATTTCAATATTATTTTGTAACCTAGAATGGACATATTTACTAATGCTTAAAATGTTGTTTGCTATGAAAAGGAGAAAAGGAGGACATGGAAAAAATTCTTCTCTTAAATAAAATAGAAAGTCTGAACATGCTCCTTACCTCTTTCTCAGGGGTGAACATGCAGAAGTACATTAACAGAAGGAAAAGACATTAAACCGTAAGATGAATAAAGCCCAAAACTGTGTGCTGAAAGAGACCAGGTCACAGAAAATTCTGTCTTAAAAATCGTGGGTTTGTTAGGGAAGAATTTTGAGGTTGCTGTTTTATAAATAATTAAAAATACCACAAAACGTTATATTCAGAATTGTTAAGGTTCTGTGTTAGTATTAGCAGGCCATCCTTGCAATGTGGTTAACAATCCTGTTGCTCCTTCTTGGAGCGCCAACTGAAAATATTACTCTTTCCATTTTATAACTTTCTTCAGTTTCTAGCTCTGTAAGCAGCATGTTGCGGTGGACCAACAAAGCTGCTTCCTTGTGTACTGACCAAAGCTTCTGTCGGGATATTTTCCTTCATAATATAGTAACACCTCTTCTGCCCTCTGGTCTGCAAGTCTTGATTTCGCTAGAGAACCATTAAGCGGTGAGATGAAGCTCCTGGTACACCAAAGGTCTGGAGGTCATTCTCAGATATGCTTCTCTGAGGGTAGTGAGTAACTGGAATCTAATGCACAGACTGGACTCAACTTCTGCACTAAAAGCATATTTTCCTGCCAACCAGTGCTATGGGTCAATCCACACCCCAAACTCTGCTCAAACCTTTCAGCACAGAAACTGCCCATGGGAATTCAATGCATCTAAGACAAAAGACACACGAAAGGGTCAATGCCTCATGACGCACACTGGCCGGCGTCAGATCTGCTGTGTGCTTCAAACAGGTGCTGCCACCGAGAGCAATGGGATAAGGACAGTATGGCTCTTCACTCTGAAGAGCTGATTAGGACAGGTAACTTTGCCACAGCATGTCAGGGCCGAGTCCTCCTGTTGGACATCTTATGGTCAGATGAAGCTAATTCCAACACAACCAACTGCAATCCCTGTGACCTGCGCATGCAACACGTCTCCCCTGTAAAGAGATGAGCTGTAGAAGCAAAAAGAGATGTTTGCTTCTGAAGGTCTAGAGGAAGAGCTTTGTACTTCTTAGAAGTTCTGGGGTTCATCTGGATCCGCAGTACGCAAAATGATCTAGTTGGGGTATTTTTGTCCATCCTCCAGATGTGGCAGCTACTTTTTGGGTTTCTCTAGGATGTTCAGGAATTTCCCTCGAGTCATTTCTCTAGCTGAAATCACAAGGGAGGAAAAAGAGATTAATATTATTTTAAAAGCCAAGAAACCCAAACAATTGCATAATTTACAGATTTTAACCATAGGATAAGAAATTAATTTACATTTGTGCTTATAGCAATAGTGAGTAAGGATTATTTTATTTAAATTATTTTAAGCAGAAAACAACTAAAACTGCATCCCAGCTTGAATTCCTGACATCCTAGAAATGCAGGCAAGGCCTGGAATCTTCTGAACTCAGCAATAATTCCCACAGGCTGTCTCATTACATACAATCTATGCTTTCTATTCCTACTGCGTTACGCTCTTGCAGCATCTCCTTTTCTCTGTACTATCCATCTCTGAACGGTGTAATCCAGATCTCCATCACTCTGTCTCAGAGCAATTGTTCCTGGATGTTATAATCCGTCAGATTATGGAACTCTCTCTTTCTCCATTTCAGGATTATTGGTCCCTGGATGCTATGATCTTCAACAGAAATTAGACAGCATTTCCCCTCTCTCAGCAGTGTCAGTCCCTGGATGCTGTAATATAATGGGGTTTATATTCCTTCAATGCAGTTCATCTATGGATGGTGTAATAAAGTAAGGTTTATAGAGCTTTGGTCTTCTCTCTCTCTCTGCATTGTCAGTCCTTCGATGTTTAATACAGCAAGGCAAGGTTTATATGTCTCTCTCTCACTCCTGGCACCATCAATCTCTGGTAGTTGTATTACAGCAGGGTTTACACAGCCACTTTTCCGCACGAGACATTTCTGACTTGTGAGCCCATAAGCTCCCAAGCTGGCAGAGCAGCCCTAATGCTATCTTTGTCTTGCAATAACAATACAATGCATCAAAGACAACATGATTAGCAATTGAGTCCTGGAGAAAGACAATCTTCCCACCAGTGTTTCCCTTCATTTCTTTTAAATAAAGGTGAAAGCTTTGTGCTGGACTGGCAGGCATCAAAACATGGAGGTTTTTATTCGCAGGATTGATGAAAGCACGCATGTTTCCCACACCTAGCCCAGAGAGACTCTGGAAGGAGATGGGAATTCATTTTCTGTTTTATCCATTCAATTCCTGACCTCTCTACTGAGAGGAACAACAGAAGTGACAATTAGCATAAAAACTGGAGGTGGGTTTGTTGCTGATGTTGGGTTTTCTTTTGACATTACTGATTATCTGTTAGAATAAAATGTAATAAAAATGTTCAGCTTAAAATACTCAATATGTACCCTCAGGTAAAGACATTTTGTTATTCCTTACCTAAATGTTAGAATTTGTGCCTTAAAGGCTCTTCTTTGAATTATTACATTCTAATTTGGCTACCCCAAATTGTACCACAAGGTATTGTCACCAACAAGATCCCTGTAAAACAATTAGCGGTATTACAAACTGTCTGGTACGTATTGATATTCATAGGATGCCAAGTCTCCACTGCCCTGTGTGGAACATGCTTCAGACTGGCTGCAGATTCAAGCAGATCCCTGCAGTATTCCCTCGGTTCATGCCTCCAGCTGTGAGTTATATCATCTGGGATCCATTCCCAATTCTGCTTCTGATTCACGGCGCGAACTATCACACAAGTACTCATTTGTACCCCCACTTCCCCACCCACGAGACAGCCTGTAGCTCTTAAACGCTGCCAAAGTGACACACGGATAGAAGGTGCTGCAGAAGGGCATGAGGGGATTGTTATTTTGTCAGGAACTAAGTCGTTATGCGCAAAGAGCACGATTAAATAAAAATGCAAGTTTTTAAAAATTTCATCTAGGAATAGATTTTCAGCACCAGTTCTTTGACACCCCCCTGCCTTGCACCGTCAACAGCTCATGGCTTTGAAACCCTCTTAACGGAGGAAGCACAACGCTGAACTGTAGTTGATAGAGTGGAAAGTTTTCCAGAGTGCAAGTCCCATATAGGAGATATACGAACGCATGACAATTCTGTTCCCCCAAAGAGGGCTGCACCCTATAAATCAGGCAGAGAGCATAGACTCCTTCTGCGCGCTGAGTGAAATTACTGTGGGTTGGGGGTTGCTCCAGAGCACGTGCCCTCCTGTTCACTTGTCATCGGAGATGTTAACATTTCTGATTAATTCACAGACCTCTCATTTTATTCTTCATTCCTTTATCCTTGCTATCCTGTTCTGCTGCAGCTTAAAGATTCTTACCGACCTGCTACAATAATCACCGCCCGCTTCCCCCCCCAACCTGGTGAAATTGTTTAGTGATGCCAACCGCGCTTTTAATTTGCAAGACATCAGACACAGAGGTAATTTATACCAACATCTGTTCATTTCTGACTTCTGAAACAAACTCGCACATGCTGCTACAAAATCCCATTAGGAGCAGGAGACAGCCTTCTGCTATTCTGTATTCCTCTTCTCCTCACATACTCGGGCTTGCATCGGGGCTTTATTTTTAAAGATAGGATGCCAAACTGAAAGAAAGGACCTTACATCTTTGTATATGTATGAAAACGGCCAGGAAATAACATCCTCATATGATAAAAAAAATCCCAGCCAAACTAAGGGCAAGTTTCCACAAACATTAACAATCTTGTTTTGCCTGCTTCAGCTGCTTCTCTCATCTGCCCAAGAACCACAGTTCAATGTATTCCTGGTAAACACGGGCCAAATACATACTACATGGTAGTGTGTTCAAACGTCTTGGCTATTCCTTCTCTTTTGTTCCTCTTTAATCTGCACTGGAGTATGATTTGAGCTTGGGTTTCGCACAGAAAAGCCTCTAATATTAAACTGACTCCTCTGCTCAATATTGCTTCTGATAAATGAATTCTTAATAATGGGAATATCATTTCCAATGGGGCCTTTTGGAGCTTGCTGGAGTGAGGGAAGAGCTTGTGAATGAAGAAACCATCACCCACATTCTAAATCTGATTGCAGTCTAAGAGAGATGGTAAAACCTGCCTTAAGCAACTACCCAAGGGACCAGCAGAAGCCAGTTGCGTAGCAGAGGTGGGTTTTTTAATTAAAAGGTTGGACAAAACTGTAGTGAAAACCTTAGGGATTTTTTTCTTTAACATGGTTGCTTTAACCACAGGCTTCAGGTGCAGAGAGGGCTTGAGTGCAGGTTTCATTGTACCAGCAAAGAGGCACTACAGAGGCTGTGCAGCATGAAACAGAAATGTGAATCTCCCATGTCAAGTCACGATTTACAACCTTGCCTACACTGTGCATCTACTACAATAGAAAAATCAACAATGGACACCATCGCAATAGCTTGGATGCAAATTAATCTCACCTACTAGGGAGGAGGCAGAGGATACTAGAGACTATAGAAAAAACACTGTAAGACGTTACCAGCACTGGTTACAATGGAAGTTGAGTGCTTGAACAGACTCTTTCAGAAAAATGTACTGAAAAATGGTATCAGGCTATTATAATTAACAGAGAATGCTGTACTGAGTGATTTAAGTTTGCTGCTCCACAAGATCTACCAAGCAGATCTCACAAACAGGTACTGGGTAGGAAAGGTTGGGGCTGAAAGAAGGGGAGATTTCTACTTGATAGGGGAGCAGAATAAGGTTTAATATAATCTCCTCTTTAGAACTTCAATCCCTCAATCCCGCATTTAGCCTTGTTGCTTGGGGCTCCTTTTCTACTACAATTGTCCCCAAGCTGCCTCTCTGCAGTAAATTTTGTGGTTGCTGGTTGAAAAGATTCAGTAGTACAGATTGATTTCTTACAAGTGAGGAGATGAGGGATTACCAAAAGCAGTCCTGGTTAACAAGATTGGGTGCAGAATCTCCTGCTAGAGCAGCCCACTCTGCCAGTGTTTTGCATCCTTTCACTATGACATATGGGTTTCATTACACAAAGATTTTCCTGATTTTAACTTGGAGGCGATTACATTGGAAACTCAGAGCTATCTTTACATCTGTAGCAATTTAAAGGTTAAGTAACTTTTAATCAAATGACAAAGACTCATAATGTTTTTTCCTCGATTGAAAATGAAAACTGCTGTTCCAGATATTCCTTCCGATGACAATTTAATTAGAAAAAAAAACTGCACTGGAGATTGGGGTCCGGCCTGATTGCTCCCCGTAAGAAGCCTTCTCACATGTATGACGGCACAGGACATACTGTGTCATAAGGTCTGGATAGCCAGGAAATAATGGAAGGATTTACTGCTACAAAATCAGCAATGAAAACAGTGATTTACACTTATATAAGCAACTTTCATCCAGGAGAATCCCTAAGCAACACGCATATGCACATGCTTTTTTAACATAATATACACTTAAATGCAAAAGCACAACACACTTAATGATAAAGTCGATGTAAACGATATGCGACAAACTGTATTTATCACGTTTATCATGATCACTATATCTTCCACTGCTTACTGCTCCTAGGCTTACCTAAAAATCTCAAAACAAAGCTTGTAAGCATCTTCAAATCACAGATATTAGAAAATGAAGTCACCCACTAAAGAAGCATTTCTCTGTGTCTCCCCGAGATGTACAGCTCAGGGGACAAATTGGGCTGTGCTCCTCTTCTGACCTGAAAATGTAGCCGTGTTGAAATCTACACGTCTTGCTACTATAAAGAACTGGAAATGCAATTAATGCCCTGTGAACAGAACATGTTTTTAGCCCTGAAATGTCTTGTAGTATCACACTTTGAATGCTACATTCTTGACTACAAAAAGGTTATTTTAGGCACTGTCATACTTTGTTAGCTTATCGGTTATTCCTCCCATTCAGTTGTATTTACGGTAACTAAAGAACTTGTTTTTCAACATGGAAGGATTCCTTTAAAGTACTAATAATGCACTCTCAAATTACTGCTGTGTCTTAGGACTATACAGAAAACAAAACCAAAAGGGCTTTATTTCTGAAGAACTATCAGTGGAAATTACCAGTTGAGGGAAAAGACCATTAATTGCAGAGAGACAACAGTATACTCCTCTAATTTTTAACCCTTCTATCACAAGGATCTGTTGCATCAGAAATTTTTTCTTTTGTCCTGAGACACAATGTCAGGA